CTCTGGGTTCTGCATCATTAGTCCTGTGTCTTTGGGCAGATTAACTTCCTGGAGCCTCCATTTCTTCACTGTAAGTGGGGTGACAATGCCTGACTTACGAGGTTGTCAGCAGCCTGGACTAAACTAGGAAGTCACACAGTGGCCTCTGGGGTGGGCGGTGGGCGTTTCCTCAGGGTACAAGGGCTAAGGCAAGAAGCTGAGGCGAGGCTGCCACGTGGCAGGGCTTCCTTGCAGTGTGTCCCTCGAGAGCAGAATGCAATTATTCTAAAGGCCAGCCTGCCTTCGGCAGCCTTGTCTCTCAAGTAGCCGGTGAGCCAGTGGAAGGCGGGGCTGCATCACCCATCTCTCTCTGTACCAGCATTGCCACCGGGCTCAGGGCTCTGTGTCAAGGGCAAGGATGACAGAGTGGAACTGGCGGGGGAGAAGAAAGAACACGATGCGAATCCTGCTGGGGTACAAACCAGTCCCCGTGACAAAGCTCTGTAGTCAAGAAAGGGATTCCACACCCCATTTCCAAGAACTCCAGGAACACAGGAGCTGGCAATGGAGGGTTTGACTGAAGCTGGAAGGCTGAGCCCTGAGTCACTGGGCTGGGAGACAGGACAGCTGAGGTCACCAACAGATTCTGCCAGCACAGGTAAGCCAAAGCCAGGCTCTGGGACTCAGCTTCCTCGCCTGAAAAATGGAAGTGTGGCATCCAGGGCCCCTCCTGGCTGTGATATTCCTGATCTGGCTTCCAAGCCTTGTCACTCACCAGCCGCACTCCAGCTCCAGCTCCAGCTCCAGCAAAGACCCCAGCACAAGCTGCCCCGCCCCCAAGTCCTACCACCTCTCTCACTGGCTCTGGAAACACACATTTTGCTATTTCTCTACCAGTTCTCTTTCTTTCGAAGCTGCCTAATTTCCAGAAGGACAGAGGAAAGCCCACATTTTCATCACAAATATCTCCAAGCCCTCAGGGACAGAAAAAATAAACATTCCCTGCTGTGTTGGAGAGGGTGAGAGGGCAGGGCAGGACAAGGGGTAAGAAGGAGGGGACGTCCCTGCGGGCCTCACCCTCTGAAACTGCTGTGTGGGCAAGAGGGTGTCCAGGCCTCAGATGGCCATCCACTGCCACACAGAAGTCACTGAGAGGGGCTTCTCTGTCCCCACTGCCACTCACAAAGGGCAGAACACATGGAGAATTCCTGTCCTTTCCAACCCAGGAGTGGGCCAGCCTCTCCCTCAGCCCAGTGACCACATCAGGGCCCTCAAAGGCAGCTGGTGCTTCCAGATCCCATGGGGCCATGGTTATTGGGACAGCCTGGCTTCCAGATCCCATGGGGCCAGAGCTCTTGTGAAAAGGCAGTGGCCATATCCCTCTCCCCTCCCACTCCTTCCACCTCCCCCACCCCTGTAGATGCTCAGAAACTTGGAGAGGAGGAGGGAAGGGCGGGAAGGGAGTTTCCGTGAAGAGATGTCCCACTATTTTGAGCCAACTTTTTCATAAGCAAGTAGTTATTTGCCCTTTGGGTGGGTTGGGGGAGGCAAGCAGAAGGATCCCTGTACTTTTCCCAGTACCCTGATGGGCCAGAACCACAGTCCAGAACTAACCATCTCCCCCAGGGTTTGGGGGGCTCTGGCATGACTCAAAAGGCCTGTGCTGATATCCTGGCTCCACCACTTATTAGCTGCATGGCCTTGGGCCAGTGATACTACCTCTCTGGGCCTCAGTTTCCTCATCTGTTAAATGGGTGTAATAATGACACCCACCTCCCACTGATGAGAAGATGCACAAAAAACTCCTAAAACAGTTCCTGTTTATAGTGAACACTCAAAAATAATGTTGCTCTTATTTTCAGACAAGGAAATTCAACTTCTTTGCCTCAGTTTCCCCCTTGACCATACCAACTTCAGAACAGGTCCCCCTGTAGAAGCCACATGTGGATACAGAGTGGGGTGCTTACAAGGCAGTGGCCACAGGAAGGAAATGGGAAGAGAGAGAACTAGGGTCACTCTGGCTCAGGAGGAGGATGCTGCCCTGAGTGTACTGACAACAGGCGGGCAAGGGGAACCTGGGAAGGGGGCTGGCAACAGCCTGCAGAATATGGAGCCCCTTGGGGTACTAAGCCTGGGTGGCTCCCCTCCATATCCCCAGCACTTGGCCAGGCCTGGCCTTGGGAGAGGCACAACCATGGTTGTGAATTAATGGTTGAGATGCAGGGTGAAGGGAAAATTAGTACGGGCTAGAAGTCAGAACATTAGGCACCCCACCGTGCGGCTGCCACTCCTGGGCAGCTTGCCCTGGGGTTACTTATGCTATCTCTGAGCATCACTGCCCTCATCTGTGAAATGGGGAGGCTTATCCCCTCTCATCCAGCCTTGTCTCCTATCTCTTCCCCACCCGCTCACTCTACCCTAGCTACACTGGCTCCTTACAGTTCCTCAAATACAGCAGGCACATTCCAGCCTCAGGGCCTTTGCACAGGCTGTTCTCTGCCAGATCTTTAGTCCCTGAAGCTATCCCCACAGCTCACTCCCTCAAAACTTTAGCTCGTAAGTCACCTCCTCAGGGAGACCTCCCTGACCACCCTATTTAAAATGGCGACCTCACCCCTGGCCTCAACACCCCCCAACACTCAACTTTCCGCCCTCACTTTCCTCCCAATATACTATATAATTTGCTTATTTACTTTATTAGTTATTTGCCCCTCCCCCACTGCGTCAGCTCCAGAAGGGCAAGAATCTTTTAATTTTGTTCACAGCTGTCTCTCAGGGTCTAGAACTGTATCCGGCACTTTGTTCATTACATCATTTTTGGCCTAGCCCTCACAAACATTTTGTTCAATAAACGAAAGAAAGTAAAGAACAGTTCAGCACTGTGTGAATATCACAGGTCACTGTCAATTCCACTGTTCCTCCCACCCCCAACCCCTGGACTGGCAGGCCCTTCCTCCAGCAGACACAGCGGGGGGCTACCATAAGATCTTGGGGGAGGGGAGGCAGTTGAGTGTGGGGTTGGAGAACTTGGGGTGCGGGTGGCGGGCCTGAGCTGTGGATCCAGGAGGTACTGACAGCCAAACATGGGTGGAGGGCTTTGGGCCTCAGCCCTCCACTCCAAATTTAGGACAGATTAAGCTGACAGCATGTGGGCAGAAAAGGAGAAGTCAGGTCGGCTGGTTCCCCAAGACAATGGGGCCGGGAGGGCACCTTGGGGGGCAGAGGGCCCCTTTTACAGATGGGATAACAGAGGCCTGGAGATATACCTAGGCTTATTTACTAACAACCCAACAACAAAAATCTTTGCTCCCCCTGGGCTAAGTATGAGGCCCGGCTAAAAAATGGACTCTGCCTCCCCCTGGCTCTCCAGCAACCCTCTCACCTCCCTCCCCACCCCCCTCGGCCCCCTCCCCCATCCCTATGCCCCTGGCACTGCGGGCTGGAGGAAGAGAGGGCGTCGGCTCCCTCTCCACAGACCACCAAGACTGGAGGTCCAAGAGGCCTCTCAGTTGGGGTGGGCATCCTTGCAGCCCCGGTGCCTTCTCCCCGCAGGGCAGCCCCACCGGGAAAAGTTGGTCTGAAGGAAATCAACCAGGAAGTGCGGGGCGGTGGGGCGGCTAGGCGGCCCCGGCCGTCGACGCTGGGCTCTGGGCTACAGAGACGCCTCGGGGTTCTCGGCCTCCACCCTCCACCCGGCTCCCGCCCCCGCCGCCTTCGCTCCCGCGTAGAAATCCGCTCCCTCCGGGGCCTCGAGGAGGCGGCGGGAGCCCGGGACGGGGTAGGGGCGGGGGAGGGCGGAGAGAGAGGACGCCGAGCTAGTGCCCAAGCTTGATAGGGGCGTCGGTGGTGGGCGAGGCGTCCTGGCGGTTCCCCTACGGACCCCCGGAGTGGGTACGAGTATACCGCCCAAGTCGGGCAGTCCCAGGCTATTCAGCGCCAGGACAATGGCACCACGCTGCCCCCGTCCGCTGAGCGCGCGACTTGGGAGAGAGTGGAGAGCGTCGGTCTCCACCTGTCCTTCCCCTAACCTCCTCCCAACAACTGGGGCTTAGGCTCGGCTTCCGCTTCTGCTCCCCCCACCCCTGGAGACTGGGGTCTCCCGGTCTTGCTCCTCCCCCCTCCAATGTGTCCTTTATCTCCCAGCTCCAGATACCCACCCACTTTATAGAGGGCTGGGGGCTCCAGGCGGGAGCTCCTGGCTGTCGGACGCCTGCGGTGCTCTGACCCAGCCCTCCCGCCCCCACGGTCCCCCGAACCAGAAGGTCGGGCCAGACTTCTGGGCAGCGGGAACCCCACCACCTCCAACCTCGACCCAGCAGGGGGCGAGGAAGGGGACTCGCAAGTTTGTGCCGCACACACCCCGGACCCAGGAACAATGGAGGGAGGACGGGGACAGGGATGGAGGGGGGAGGGGACAGAGAACCGAGCGCGGGGACCGAGTCAGACCCCAGGGAGGGAGAAAATGCTTTCCGCTCGGTTTCTCCCTCGCTCCGAAGCGGAGAGCGCGAGCCCAAGAGGCGGAGGGCGGAATAAACCGTCCTAGAGGGAGGAGGCGGCGGAGGGAGGAAGCCGAGGGAGCGAGGGAAACCGAGTCAGAGGAAAGGGAGCAAGCGGAGAGCGCGAAGGAGAGGACCTGAAGGGACTGCGGGACGGCGCCCGGGAGGACCGCGGAGGGGGGAATCCCTGGAGTCCCGGCAGAACCCTCCGGCGGCAAGAGGTGCTGGGGCGCCCGGCTCGCGCGCACGGGGTCCTCTCTGTCCTCGGCGGTCCCTGCGGCCGCAGGAGCCCCAATGGGCTGCGCTGCGCAGGCACCGGCCAGCTGGCGGCGGGAAGGGAAAGTGCTAGGCTCCGAAGCGGCGGCGGGGAGCAGAACTTACGTTCCTAGCGCCTGCTGGCGCCGGCGCTGCGCGGAGCTGGCGTGTCAGGGGGACTGTCGGGCCCTCGGTCGACTCACATAGCGCCGCCCGCGCCGGGAAGGGCAGGGCCGGCTGGACTACGCGCGGCGCCCAGCGCGGCGGGGCTTTGCCCGAGTCTGGCGGCCCGAGCTGGTCCCTCCTCTCAGTTCCGTGCACAAGCCAATGGCGCGCCGTCCCCTCCCACGCGCCGCGCTGCCTAGCCCCCGAGGGTGGCCGCCGGGGCGGGCGGGAGAGAAGGGTTGGGGGGACTGGGCTCCCGGGCTCCCCAGCCGAGGCTTTCCCGGAGATCGCCTGCGGGGGGCGCGCTCACGCCCCGGGGGAAGGCGGTTGGGAATCCGAAGAGAGGGCCCGCGCCGCCCAGGGAGACTCTCACGGCAAATTCTCAAGACTGCACCCCTTTCGTGAGACTATCTACACCCTCGTAGGCTGGCAAGCCACCTTGTCTTAAATATCCCTGGGGTATCGCCTGGGGCCTAGGCCAGTGTCTAAAACGGAAAGGAATGCTTTGGCTGGTAGCTACCCAAGTGTGTAATAACACAGTTACACAGCAATGGTCCCCGTCTGCCGAGCGCCCGCTCCGTGCCAGGCACCGTGTGCTGAAGGAATTACAAGTATTAACTCGTGATTCTCACAACTACCTATGAGGCGGGGATGATTGATCCCATTTTACAGACGGTGGTCATTGATGTTTGCTTTCATTTAGTCTTCTGGCTTCCAGCCTAGGCTCACCGTTTCTAGTCCTCCCTTGCTTGGTGTGACTTTGTCAAGTAACATGACACCATCAAACCCCCCCCCCTGCACACACACACACACACACACACACGCACACGCACACACACGCACACCTTCATCCTCCAGCCTAAAATCCAGCCTCAGCTATGTTGCTACAAATTGCACTGTCAAGGCACAAAGATCTTAGCTGGGGCTCATTGGCACGTGGGGGAGGGAGGAGGCACAGTGGCAAGACCTTTTGTGTCCGCACATCCTGTGGAGGGCAAGCGGGGTAAGAATGGAGTTTGGGAGTCCTGGAGGCTCTCTGGGAGCCTTTCAGCCTGAAACAACTAGATTCCTACAGCAATCCCCCCCCCTCCAAGATTCTGAGCTCATTTCAATCCTTTGTGACTAGTAATGTGTTTCCCCACCCCAACTCCCACCAACCTCCTTCCTAGAAAAGAACACCTGCATCTCTTTATCTTGGCTGATGGTCACAATGGGAGGGGGTTGGAGGAAAGAGGAAGGCGAGGTTGGTGACAAGCTCCATTTCACAAGATAAGCAAAGGGGGCAGAGAAAGGTGAGTGATTCCCCAGGCTTCTACCCATACCTTAAGAGTTGATCAAGCAGGCTCTGGAAGCAGACTGCCCAGGTCCAAATCCTGGCTCAGGCTTTTGGGAACTGTGTGGCCGTGGGCAAGTAACTTAACCTCTAGGTGTCTGGTTTTCTCGGTGTACAAAATGGCGGCAACCAAGAGTAGGAACACCTATGGTTGTTGTGGAGATTTAAATGGCAGCAGCTCACGCTTATTGGGCGCTGACTGTACCAGGTGCTCAGGGCTGGCGTGCCAAGCAGACTCCCATTGCCCTCCCTGGAGCTGTGACTGGGCAGGAGAGGCTATGCCCTTTACACAGAAGTAAACAGGAAATGCCTGGCTCATAGTAAGCACCCAGTGACGGTTAGCTGTCTGATTACCAAGGTAACAACTCTGATCCTGGCCCGCAGTGCCACCATCCCTGCTCCCAGCCAGTGATAGCCAATAATGAATGAATGAGTGAATGAATGAATGAGTGAATGAATGAGACTACGGATCAGGATTGTTCCTAGCTTTGTTGGGTGAAGCACAGACCCCAAATCCACCTGACTGAAGTCTCAGGGCTTGATAGCAGTCTTTGTGACAATTTAGAGTCTCAGCTCACTGCCTTAACAGAGCTGGCTCAAGCAGGGATGATGAATTCATTTGTTACTCCTTCTGCCTCCCCAGCATTCTGGGCTCTGGGTTGCTGAAGGGCAGGCACCAGCCTCACTTGTGTGCAGTGTTACCCCTGATCGCCCCCATGACTAGGAGACACAAATAATTCTCCCCTAGGTGTGACTGTTGGATATACCCGAGAGCCTGACTTTTATCAATAGACGGAGGGACTTTATAACAATCGCTCTGAGATCTCCAACACAGAAGGGGCTGCTTTAGTAGTAGTGAGCACCCTGTCACTAGCGGCGTGCAAGCAGAAGCCAAGGAAGAGTGGAGGAGGGTGCTAGAGGAGGGGTTCATGCCTTAGGTGGTGTTTGATGTGGATAAACCTTGAGCGCTGGGTGACTTGATCCTGTGTTCTTGTCTCCCGTCCCATCATCCTTCATGAAGGAGGCAATGTTGACTGGGCCCTTCCTGTGTGCCAGGCAAGGTGCTGGCTGTTGGGGCCCCAGTCCCTGTCCTTGAAGAGCTTACAGCTCCTGGGAGACAGATGCACACACAAATAGTCAAGCCCAGCAATGGAAACAACTCGCAGTAACAGCCAAAGTGATTGGGGGGCCGGAGCAGAAGGAAGAGACATTCTCCATTACCCCTGGCGTCCACTTTCCCTAAAGAGCCCACTAAAAGCTCTGTTCTCTTCCTTCCTATATGATTTTCTAAAGCGATGTGCCTCTACTTCAGAACATTCTTTAGACTCTGCCATTCTGCCTTTAACATTTCTGAGTCACCTCATCTTTACATTGGACATAAATGTAAAGGGGATAAAAACTGACCTTTGTAAAGTGCTCCCCCAATCTAGGCAAGAATAGGTGCTTGACATGTGGTAGCCATGAGGTGTCATGATTATTTACAGTGCAGGACAGGGAACATTAACTGAGAGGGCGAGAGAAGGGGGTTAGGACCCTGGCTCTGCTCCTAACCAGCCGTGGCACCCTCTGCTGCTCCTGAAAAACGGGCTTGTGAGAGTCACCTGAGGTGATGAGATGCAAAGGGTTTGCAGACTGGAACTGATTCCTATTATTATCATTATTATTGTGATTCTCATTATTGTGAAATGTTTCCCTCAAAGTCCCAGGAGGGTGGGGGTGGGGTGGAGGTGGAGCCCAGACCCGTGGCTGGGCGAGGGTCACTCCCCTCCAGCCTCCCACAGGAGCCTGGGAGCAGCTGGGCCTCCATCTGCCCAGGTTCCGGCCAGCAGGGGCGGCAGCACCTCCTTTGTGGCTGTGTGTCTGTGTGTGTGCCCGTGCAGGTGGGTGTTGGAAGGTGGAGTGGGCATAGGGAATGCCAGTGTCTGTGGCTAGAAATCACCTGTGGATTGTGACTCCCTGGGGAAGAATGCAGAGGCAATTTGATTTCAAAGATGCCAGCAGTGGGACTAGTGTTGGCACCCAAGAGATAAGGAGAGAGGCTGGGGGGAGTGAGGGTTTGGCCTAGTCTTTGGGGCTAGGGACAGGGGATAGGTCTTACCAGGGACCCCTCCCTGGGGATGGCGGTGTGCGTAGAGGAAAAAGATGTTGTCAGAGGCCTGTGGTGGTTGAGCCCAGGGGGTTTGGAGCTGACAGACTTGGGTTCAAATCCTAGAGATGGGCCAGTGATTTCATTTCTCTAAGCCTCAGTTTCCTGGTCTGTAAAATGGAGATAATAGTAGAGCCTATCTCCTAGAGGTTATTGGGAGTTTAAGAGAGAGGATGCATGTTAAGCTTTAGCAAAGAGAAGGCACATAGTAGACTACTGTTGCAGTTATTATTCGTAGGAAGCCCAGAGGAAGGAGGGAGGGAGAGGGCCTCGGAGGTGCCAGTGCTTGGTAAACTGGGAAAGTAGCTCTGGGGTGAAATTTGTCAAGCCAGGAGGTGGTAGAAACTGCCATAAGGAGCATCATTTTGGCCCAGGCCGAAAGAGCCACTGTCCCAGCACGCAGCGTGAAGCAGAGGAGCTGGGCTTTCATAACTCCTGCCACTTACCTTTGCTGGTTCCCCTCACTTCCTCTAGAGTGTCTTCCTTCCCTGTGAGCCTGTCTGGTAAGAAGACCCCTGGGTCATTCCACTCCAATTCCAGTGGGCCCAGGCTGAGCACAGCTTTGGAGACTGGGAGAAGCTGCTGGGAGCTCCGGGACCCTGAGACAGGTCTCCCCCACACTGCCTGGCTCCTGCCTCCACGCCGGGGACACTGTCCAGGCCTCCTTCCCTCCACGCCCCCCACTCCTGCCTATGAATCATCCCCACCACTGCTGTTGCTGCTCCAGGACCACAGAATGTCAAGCAGCTCCTCACCTGTGGGACAGACAATCCATTAGGATGCGGTTGGAAGCAGTGAGGCTCAGTCCTTCTAAAGGAAAGACGTGACAGCTCAGCTCTGGGACCAGAGGACCACAGCCAGCCCTTTTCTGCTTCCACTGGGGAGAGCTCAAGGGGGCAGGTGAGAGCAGAACTTGGGAGTTAGACCATCCTGGATCTAGGGTCAAGGCCCTAATTCTGCTTATTAGGTCTGCGGCCTTAGTCGAGTTACTCAGTCTCTCTGAGTCTCAGTTTCTTCATCTGTCAAATGGAAAGAGAAAAATCATGCTGAGGCACAGGGGACTTGGAGGATTAAATGAGGCACAACCTGTAAGTCCTGAGCTCAGAGCCTGGCTCACAGTAAGTGCTCAATTAATGTTCACTGACCCAATGAATGAATGAACAGGCGACAGTGGCGGTGAGTGGCGGTACAGGGAGGAGCATGTGACTGCCTTTGGGAAAGCCAGCCTCCACCAGCTGGCTTGGGGCGGTGGGGTCACTGTCTGGGGGCCCAGGACACCTGTTGCTCTGTGCTGGTATGAGAGAGGCAGCTTCCAAAACTCAGAACAGAGTGTGGACTTTCCCTTGTGGGCACAGCTCACACTGCTGCAAGTCAGATAAGAGCCTCAGGCTGGGTGCAGACTCTCTGAAAGTGCTGAGCCCTGCCTGACCAAAAAGAATTGCTATGGGGTGGGGGAACAGCAGATAGTGGATCTTCAGCTTGGGAGACCCCCCCAAACCGCTTTACAGTGATAGCATAGAGCAGCCACTCTGGGCTGCGAGGTCAGGACCTTGGGCCTTGGGTAGCCAGCTAGGGCCGTGAGCAGCACCTCACCTGCCTCCTGCCCAAGGGGATGCTAGGCCCCTTGGGTACCACACCCTAGAGAGTGCTATCGTCTTCTCAATAGATAGCTTTCTGAGCCCTTACCATGTGCCAGGCCCTGGTCTAGGTGCCTTACATGTATTAACAAATCTCATGATGTTGGTACCATTATTAGCTCCATTTTATAGATGAGGAAACTGAGGCCCACTGAGTTACATAACTTGCTCAAGGCCACAACCCAGAGATCAGTGAGCTCAGGATTGGAACCCCAGGCCCAGTGCCCCAGACGGCTCTGGCTGTGCTGCTGA